TTGCACAGTAGATAACAAAAAAGCACGGCTGCTTCATCTCTCAAGGTAAAAAAAATGTGAAAAAGAAGCTAGGAATTGAAGAGTTAAGAAAATGCATTTTTTTCCTTTCAACTTTCACCGTGAAAACAAACACATATTAAAACTACGATGTGATTTCATATGATGCATATGTAAAAACCTTTTACACTGTAGGTATAGATAGAAGTATTAATCTCTAACAAAAGAAACTCAAATATTAAAAATATTTAATGTTTGTTGTACAAAAAAATATGTACAAAATTAAAATATATTGTTAATTAGAAAAATAAATGTTAAACTGTACATAAAATATAGTAACAATAATTAATTATGATTAATAAAAAATATTAAAAAGAGAAAAAAAATATGAAAAAAGAATGATTAAAAATTAATTTGAAGTCTTAAGAAAAAAATATAGAAGTTTCATGTTGAAATTATAAAATAATATGTTAAGTTGATTGTAAATGGTGTTGATAGAAAGAGACAAATGGGTCACTGATTATTATATTAAAAAGGTCTATTGTAGAATTTTTACACTCAGAAATATGAAACGCACGTGCATATGATCATAAAGGCTTGAAGAAGAAAGGGCAACTGACACAACATTAATTGCATCCATTTTCTTTATCAAATTTTTTTCGGAAACACACAATATCAATGTCATTTTCTTCATTCCCGAAACCCTAAAATGTCAAGTGTCAGTCCTCGCACACCAGTTGGAAGGTTTTTCCTTCATTTACGTATACTATGTTTACATTTATAAGATATCATCTGATCTCCATGATTATCTTTGTATTTTATTTTGTGTTTCCTTTTATGCAGGGAAATTGATAGTTTAGAGCGAGTAACTGCTTGTAAACATATGAGAATGACAAAAGTTGGTGGGTCTTGTGTCGTTGATGGTGGAATAAATGATGAAAAACAAGGTGGCTCATCAACTGCTGGTTGTAGTAACATGCATGTATCAAATGATGGTGAATCGTAGAAGAAACTAAGGGATGTAAAGAAACACAAAGGGATATCGGGTGCTGGGTCGTCTCACAATATTATCTGGTCGAATAGTGTAAAGTATATGATTATATTATATTATTTAGAAACTTAGTATAATTTGAGCTGTTAAGAAAATTATTTGACATGTTAAGATTTTATATTGGGTCATGAATATGTTTAAAACTAAAATATAATGGTGAAGTTGTTAATGCAGTCCTGCTGAAGAAAACTAAAATATAATGGTGAAGTTGTTAATGCAGTCCTGCTGAAGAATCAATGGATGAAGAGGAAGAGGAAGATAAAATCTAGAAAAACAGTATGTAAAAATGTGTTTGTAAGTTCAAACGTTACATTTAATGATATAAGCTAATATATGTTTGGCATCTGTTACTAATTTATATTTTCTTTTTGTTGATGTGTAGCAAATCCACCATAAAGTTATAAGGAAGTGTTAGACATCTGGGCATAGGCGCATTCATTTGGTTGACTTTGATAATGGAGAAAGGTATGACTGTGAACTTTATATTGCTGAAAGCAAGTACAATGTAGAAATGTAAACCAGACATAATTGGTATGAGTTCGCTAAGAGCAAAAGACTCAAAAGAGGTGATAGGATGGTATTCATCCTTCGCGATCCTCCAGCCGAAAGACTTATTGTGAGAATCTTGAATCGTTAAAAGTCGGTTCAAGTAGTAGGATGGTGGTTGTTTAGATTTTGGTTTAAGTGTAGGTGTTATTAAGAAGATTGTGAATTTTGGCAGATGATTAATGTTTTGTGATGATGGATTATGTTTTAAAAACCTTTTGTTAAGTTTCAATGGTATTTGTTTTAGGTATCCTTTAATTTAAGAATTGTATTATTGTAATGGGTACTCTACCTTACTTTTGGATGTTATCCTTGAAATAACAACGTATTATTAATCCAGAATATGCCATAGCAAAAATGACGTAATAGTACTTCGAACTTATGCAGTTGTGTAACAATATTTCTATAAATGATGTTGTCTTTTATGTTAAGATTTTCTTATGATTCAATATCTAACATATTTAAATATACAACACAAAAAGATAAGTTGATTTACATTTACAAAATTGTAATTAATTTCTATGTATAATAAACTTTAGATTTTGTTGTTAAAGATTTGTTTGTATTCAAATTGTACCATCATTTTTTGTAATAGACAGTACAAATGATTAGTATGGTAAAAAAAATCAGGATCTCATATGTCAAACTCATATGACAATGAGTTGCAATTAGTTGAAACATTATGATTTAGTTATTTAGTTTAGGTTTAGTTGGATAAAAGTTATTAATACTACAAGCATATTATTTTAATTGAAACAGTCGGTTATTATGCCTGAACCGAATGTAGATGACGTTTAATCATGATTTTCTGTTTTCAGTTTTGAAAAAGAAAGTTCTAAAGATTCAGCAATGAATGAGGACCTATCAAATCCTTCAAGATACTGTATATGGAGAAAGGAAGTTTTTTATCCAAATGTCGCTGAGAGAAATGTTCTTGTAAGTCACATGAGATACCATTTAGCTATATATAACTTATGCTGTTGTAATGTAGGACGTATATAAAAATAGAAAAATTATTTTTAATGGAAAGTTATATTTATTTGCAACAATTTTCTCAACATGTCATTAAGACCTGCTCCTTGATTCCCATAAGGAAGATAGAGTTGAAGCATTTTGATAATGGTGATAGGTATGATTGTGTGGTTCACACCTCAAAAAGGAAATACTGTAGAAAAATTTCTCGGGCGAGATTGGTTTGAGTTTGTAAAGAAAAGATGTCTTAAAAAAGGAGACACTCTTGGATTCAACATTAGACTTCCTGAGGCTGGACGTGTGTTAGTGAGTATTTTGAACCAGTGAATATAGTTTTGAGGTTGTTGGAAGTGGAATGCATTGAGGCTGAATAGCGTGGAGTTAGTTGGAAAATAGGAAGGTTGATGCCATTTTGAGGGAATTGTGTTCAGTGGTTGTTAATCATGTTAAATTAAAAACTTGTGTATTAATTTAGTTCTTTTGAATGGTAAATAAACAACTATAATTTGTAAGTTGTTTGGGGAACATGATTTAATTTGTGTTAGTACTATGATAATAGCTTGATGTATAATAGTTTGACGTATTATTACTGACTTGTGTCTCTATAAAGTAATTATCATAGATTATGCAGACAAATGGTATAGATTATGCATTGATATTACTTTGTTTGGTTATAAAGGCAAATGGTATGAATTATGAAGTGATATTAAATAATCAAAAACGGAAATTGGTTATGCATTTTAAGCTTGATATTATATGATCCAAAATTCTGATGTAATATGATTGTTACACAATGTAATGATAACACTGGTTTTTGTCCCAATTTACTTTTAATTGTGGTTGATATGTTTATTATTGTTGGTGGATTTTCTATCTGCAAGTTTGAAAAGACTTGTTATCAAGTCAATTAGAGGTTCATTGTCTCACATCAAATGGTCAATTGATAGAGCTATGGAGTGAAATTATTTGGAGAAAGAGTTTGACTTATGTTAGCATCTCTTTGGTTGTGGGTTCTTCCTCTCCTTTCAAGTTTTTTGAAGGCTTATTTAAAGTGAAGTGATGCTGATAATTCAGTTTAAAATTGGTAGGAAAATATTGTGAAATTGTTGAAGAAATATGTTGGAACTGGAGAGAATTTGGAATAATCGGTGTGATTCAAGTGAAGATGAATTCATGACCATAAAATTCAAGTTGATTGAAAGGTAAATATGAAATTCAAGATGTAGTTATTGTAATTTTGTTGTGAAATTTGAATGGTAATTTTGGTTAAATTGTATGTGTGATGATTTAAATGAATATTGTGAATGATTTTTACTGTTAATGAAATACAAATTACATGAACTTGGAAATGATGTGGTCCCATGAATACACTAAAATGGAATGACTAAATATGATTCAAAAGTAACACTTTTAGTCAACAACTATAATGATCATATATATATATATATATATATATATATATATATATATATATATATATATATATATATATATATATATATATATATATATATATATATATATATATATATATCACTACATTTTAACATAATTGCAGCACTCTAAAGGAAATGTTATAACTTTCTATGATAATTTTTTTTGTGACAATTAAATGTATAACAAAAACAGTCAAGAGTATAAGGGTTTAATGATATCATATTAAAATAGAATAAAATTTCAGAATAAACAATATGCTATTAACTTAGAGATTGTCATGTATAACATCTTTTGAAGCTTAACAACAAAGACATTTAGATTGTCATGTATAACATATATATTTACTTAGAGTTTCATGATTTAAATTCCAAGACATATAGATATATGTCAAAACTTAAACATGCAAGTTGAATGAAATAGTTAACAACAACTAATTATAAATCTTAAAAATATTCATTAACAACTTGCAAAAACACATTTGTTAATTGTTTCAATAAAAAACTCAACAAAATCAATAAAATAAATTTTCAAATAGAAACATATATCCAATGTAAACAAAGCACAACTTAACATAAACAATTGTTTTGATGAAAGTTATGGATAAACAAAAGATCTATTTGAGGTTCTAATTATTTCTCCTTTTTAATCTCTTTGATTAGCTTGTTGGAGAAAAGTTGGATACTCTCAATATCTTCTAATCCATCAGTTAAAGATCTTTTCGACGGAGTCAGCCCATCATTTCTATTTGCAGGGTCATAATCAACAGATGTAGAGCAAGTTTCCCGAAATCATAATTCAGAAAAATAAATTAGTTTAGATGAGTTTAAAAGCTAAATTTTATTAATTAATGTGTTAAAAGTTGATGGAAATGACTTACATAAATAATTCTTATTAGTTCCTCTTGTGATGAAGGATCTGGTGTTAACAACTTCGATGTATGCTACCAAGACAAAGTGATATTAAGACGAATGCTTCAATACAAATTGCATATATAATGTTATACAACAAAGAAGTCCATAAAGATTATCTCATCAGGTTTGAAACAATCCCTTATTTTTTTACGGGAATCTTCGTCATCTTTGAAGCCAATGACAGAAAGTCTGCCATATTTTGGCTGAAAAACTGGTCTAATGGCCAGCTCTTTTTTCAATATAGCATCAAGTTTGTAAGCGGATTCAAGGGGATTATCTTCGTTGGTCTAAATTAATAACAACAACTACATTAATATCAAATTCAAATACAATAAGTCATAAATAAAATGTCAATAGAAACCTCTATCAGCTCCCTTTTCATTTGAACAACAGACTTTCCAATTAACTTCGCACAATCGCCATTCCAAAAAACAAACTCTGCTTTAAATTTCTCGTCTATTGTCATAACGTCAAGCTTATACCTAAATCAATGGTGATGTTATACAATAACAGATGGAATATGCGGAATAAATATTAATAATAACTTGCTATACACAATATCTTGGGACAACTTCAGTTGTTATGTGATTCGAATAGCACATAAGTTTTCCATCATTCATAAATACACTTTTTGTACACTCAACACATTTATCATAATACCATCATGTTTGGCCAACATCAAATTTCTCCAATGTAGCAACAGTCACACATCTTATCTCATATATTATCAGCAATAGAAAAAAATGTTAAACATAATAGCCTATGCACAAACAAACTATTGACAAAAACATGTCTTACATGCTGAATACTTGTTATTTCAGCAAGACTAAATACTCCGACTTTTCATAGAAACTTATCAAACTCGGAATACTATGAGCTTTGAGTAGCCTGAACTTGGAGGGTTGGAGAAGATAACAAAGGAAAATCATCTTTAAGACTGACATGTAGCAAAGAAATGTAATGCATAAATGTAAATACTCTAAATCTGAATTCAACAATATATGCACAAATATACATTACATTAATAAAACTAAGCTACATTTCTTTTAACTTGTTAATCTTGACAATGATAACATGATTTATTGTTAATTTAGTGTCGTTTCAAGCGTTAGATACACTCAACGAAAAATCTCCTGCAATAGTAGAATCACATTTTTGTTATTAAAGTTAACAATGAAATGACAAAAACATGTATATGGATATTATGAAATTAGATAATAATACAAACAGCAAAAAGCAAAATCTTGAGTCTCCTTTATCCTTTCATTATGCAGTAGAACAATTACAATACCATATTTCGTGTAACTCTTGTAATAATCGTAAAACTGTATAGCAAGTTAACCCCATAAAAGTACATTGCACCAAAAATTTGCTGCAGACAATGTCATGTAAGTAAAACAAATTAGATAAATTCAAATATCATAATATTATAAACCGACGTAAGTTGTTGTTACCATGGATAAACATACTTCATACCTCATATCAGTTATTGTAAAAACAATTTTATTCTTGTTATTATCAGCAATCATTTGGGTTTGACGAATTTCAATAACTCCACCAACAACATCTAACCAAATAATATATACCAAATGATGATTAGAATCTTACACACTTTAAGAATATACAACAATAATAACATTAAATATATGATTAACTTACCAACTAACATATTAGATTGAAACCTTCCCTAAACTATATCTTTTAAACCAAGTATGTTGAGATAATTTATAGGAATGTCTGGAATTTCAGATTTCTTAACCGAAGTTGAACCACAAAATATCCATTTGTAACCATGAGTAGTCGATTTAAAAGAGAAATTATTATTTGAAAATTTGAAATTCTGCATAATGTAAGCACTTCCAACAACAAGTACATCCTTGAACTTCAAAATTAAATGAGGTGGGATAATGACTTGAATCATATCACGCTAAAAATTGAAATATAAAGCATTTACATTAACTAATGATTCGTTGTAAAGATAATCAAACAAATATGACCAATTTCTCACACCTTTGAATCAACCAAAACCATTTTAAAGTGCTCTTTGTTGGAGGCACTTGTCACAGACCATAGATGCTTACACCAAATAACTATCTTCCACAAATCATTTTAGTCATTGATATTCTTGACAACTTCAATAGGCCGAGCCATTGAGTGTTAACAAAGCTGCAAAACATCACGAAAAAACGACGTCGAATAAAATGTATCATTTGAAAACAAATAAGAATCATGGAGTCAAACCAAGTATAGCAGAAAAAAACGGGAATCGTAAAATAAATAGGGCGTGTGATAGAACATGAAGCACGCGAGAAGGATATGGAATAGACGAAGAAGGGAAGCAGAGAGGGAGGCGATAAAGCATGCACACAGAGAGGGTGAAGGAATGATTTGAATGGAAACAATAGATAGCTGTGATTTATAATGACAATTGATATCCAACATGGCAAGTTATGAGACTTTTCGTTGTCCAATGTGTTTAATTTAATTTTCAAAATTTTTTCCCATAGAAGTTTAAGGGATGGATTAATCATTAATCATATTTATTTAACATAAAAAATAAATAATAAAGGTCGAGAAAAAATAGAGAGTGACACATCAGTCTCATTAACCGCCAAATCAACCACAATTAAGTAAAGATGAAATAAGTCACTTATAACCTAAAATCAAAAAAGTTTAAGTATTTGTTAATAGGATACACTTAGTTTTTCCAGATACTTTAATTTTTATATATTTATATTAGATGAAGTAATTACCGACATGATGCAACACAAATCTATTTGCATAATTGAATCCTTAAATAGATATATCTTTTGGAAAGAACTGAATCCTGAAATATAACAGAGTAGTAAACTAGTAATTATATTTTTAGACACATAATTGAAGAAAACAGAATTGTCCCTGTTAAAATATTTTATCCTTCATTGGATCACACTAAAGTTTGTATTGATTACAGTTAACCCCCTAGAGGTAAGCTTACAAATTACAATACAAGAGATATAAACTAACTATGCACAAGACAAATGAGATTTACCAATCATAAACAAATGAATCAAACCAACAAAAGAAACATACAAAATCTAAATAGCCACAAAAAATATATTCTTAGAAAATATGGAAAGTTGAGCATCATTTGTGATTGTGATTGTTGTTGAAATTCTTCGAGGGTTGTGGTGTATCATGGGAAGCAGTAGCATTAGCAGTGGTAGGATGCAGAGCTGTGACAGTTAGGCCTCTGGGGCTAACCAAAACTCCATCAACACCAAATCTATGCTCTAAGAACTCACTTGTGGGTTGCTGAAATTCAGATCTAGTTCTTCTATGAGAAGATCCTGACACGGATTCAGATTCCAACAGCAAGTGGTAGCTACGGCTTATGCTCCCAGAATGAGAGACACTCCTGTTGAGACTATGTTGATGCGGCTTCTGCTTCTTGATGGCATGAATAAGATATGGAATCAAACCTTCCATTGCCTCTCCTTTTCTTTTCTTTCACGAACACAACCTTTGACTATGATGATAATTGAAGCCTTGAAGTAAAATTTGATTTTTTGTATGACATGAAGTTGCGCAATGGAGGGCATATAAATACATAAAGTTGACACGCGCACGGGTTTTTTACTTGTGAAAAAAGGAAAGTGGTTTTGACTTTTGGAAGGTGTTTGACTATTCTTAATCACATTTGTGGGTAGAGTTAAAGTTTGGCGGCTATGATATTTGCGCGTAGGAACAACTTAACAACTGCACTACGTATTTAGTTATGCTCAACAGCTCAAATAGTACAAGCAAACGTTTTTGGATGATGGAGATGGCATGCACAACAACAAACTTCATAGCTACGTATCTCACTTATGAACGGAATTAGAGTTTTACATTCTCACAAATTCTGGTTTTTATGTTTTTCTCATTGTATTGATACTATATATAATAGCGGCGGTAATTACAAGTAATTACAATTTATAATGACTAATTACAATTCATAATAACTAATTTACTATTTTATGAATGTAAATTATTCACAATAAATGCGTTTGATTATTTCTTGATTAATATTCCTCTTTAAATTGATGCGGTCAAGGAGCATCAATTTGCTAACAAAAAACTGATGTCGTCGGCGTGAAACAGCCTTGGTAAGAATATCTGTAACCTGCAACTGAGTACTGACGTGAGGAGGTGATATTATTCGATCATCGTAGGCGTTGTGTATTGAATGACAATCAACTTCGATATGTTTGGTGCGTTCATGAAAAACGGGATTTGCGACAATGTGAATGACACTTGTATTGTCAGCATAAAGGGAAGTTGGCTCTGTTTGGGGAAATCCAAGTTCAGCCAACAGACCACGAAGGCAAAGTATTTCTGAACAAGTAGCAGACATGGCACGATACTCTGATTTAGTAGAAGATTTAGAAACTCTTGTTTGCTTCTTACTTTTCCAAGAGATCAATGAAGAACCAAGAAACATGCACCAACCAGTAACATATCGATGAGTATCAGGACACCCTGCTCAATCAGCATCACTATAAGCACTCAACTGAAGATAAATTCCAACAGAAAAGAATAATCCGCGGTGAGAGGTTCCCTTTAAGTAGCGAATTATACGACGAACCGTAGCCAAGTGAAGATGGTGTGGAGAATGTATGAATTGACTTACTTGTTGAACAACAAAAGATATATCAGGGCGAATAATAGTCAAGTAGTTGAGGCTACCCACAAGTTGTCGATACAATAAGGGATCATGCAAAAGATCACCATCATCACGATGATATTTAACATTAACCTCAAGAGGAGTATCTACCGGATTAGCTGATTCGAGACCGGCCATAGAAATCAAATTTGTAGCATACTTGTGTTGATTGAGAAAGATGCCCTTGGATGTAGAATGGACCACAAGACCAAGAAAATAATGTAGATTACCCAAATCTTTCATGTGAAATGAGGCTTGTAATTATTGCTTAAGTCGTTGAATGGAAGCAGGATCCGAACCAGTAATAACCATATCATCAACATACAAAAGAAGCAGAACAATACTCGCAGATATGCTATAAATAAATAAAGATGAATCATACTGACTCTGAGTAAAGAAAAATCCAAGTAGAGTGGAGCAAAATTTCTCGTACCATGCTCTAGGTGCATGTTTCAAACCATATAAGGAGCATTTGAGCTTACACACGCCTTTAGATGAAGAGAATAAGCCTTGAGGTTGAGTCATATAAATATCTTTTGTCAGGTCACCATGAAGAAAATCATTCTTCACATCCATTTGATGTAGAGTCCACCCATTAGAAGCAACTATAGAGATGATCGTGCGGACAATTGTCATTTTGGCAACTAGTGAAAATGTCTCATCATAATCAATTCCATATTCATGCTTGTTTCCTAATGCAACCAAACGAGTCTTGTAATGGTTGAGAGACCCATCAGAATTCAATTTCACAGAATACACTCATTTGCAACTTATAGGTTTTACATCAGGAGGGCAAGAGACAATATCCCTCGTGAAATTCTCTTGAAGAGCTTGAAGCTCTTCATTCATTGCTTTTATCCATCGCACCTCCTTAACATCCTGTGAGTAACAAGTAGGAATAGATATGCTAGAGAGTATGGCAGTCAGAGAAGTATGTGAAGAATCATACCTGTCTGGTGAATATTTATCTGGTGCGTGAGATATTCTACCAGAGCGCTGTGGGTTAGCCGGTACAGGATCAGGTGACGGTTCAGTGTCGGGAAGGGGTGTGGGAATTTGCTTCCTGTGTTTTCTGACATATACATGACCTGGTTTATAACGTTCTATAGATTGAGGCATAATAGAAAACTTAGGAAGAGTAACAATATCATTAATGGCAGGAGAAACACAGGGAAACATAAACTGATTATCAAAAAATGTCACATTTCTAGAAATACAAAAATGATGGTTAGTGACATCATAACACACAAATCCCTTATGAGAGTGACTATATCCCATAAATGCATATTAAATGGATTGTGCTCCAAGCTTATGCCTTTCAAAAGGAGGTAAGTGAACAAAACACACACACCCAAAAGTATGTAAAGCACTATAATCAGGATGAATTTTGAAAAGATGAAAGAAAGGAGAATCAAGTTTAATAACCGTAGAAGGAAGACAATTGATCAAGAAGACAACTGTGGAAAGAGCCTCTACCCAAAATCGGGATGGTACAGAAGCTTGGAGAAGCAATGTGCGTGTTACATCAAGCAAATGACGGTTTTTACATTCTGCCATACCATTTTGTTAAGGGGTATTGGGACAAGATCGTTGCAACAAGATGTCGTTTTGTTGAAGGTATTCCTGAAACGTGTGAGACATGTACTCACCACTAGAGTCAGAGAGAAATTTTTTCACACTTGTTTGAAATTGAGTTTCAACATATGTCTGAAATTTCTTAAACATAGAAAACACTCCAGATTTAGACCGAAGGAAATATATCCAAACAAAATGACTATAATCATCAATAAATGTGACAAAATATTTATAGTGAGAATGAGAAACTACAAGAGACATACCCCATACATCACTATGAATCATTTCAAAACAAGTGGAAGCACGATAAGCACCAGATGGAAAAGGAAGTGTTTTACTCTTAGCCAATTCACAAACAGAACATGAAATAGAGGCATTAGAAACATTTTTATTTCCTAACAAACCATTTTTAAATAAATGGGACAAAATAACAGAGTTTGGATGACCTAATTTTCTATGCCAATCCTCATAAGAGTTTAAAGCATTATTACAAGCAAGAGATATATGATTAAAAATAAACTGGAGCGGGAACAATATTCCCACTTTAGGCCCCTTCGCGATCACCTTCCCTAATACCTGCTCCCGCACAAGACAACCATCACGAGAAAAGTTAACATCATAATTTTTATCTACCAATTGACCAAAAAATAATAAATTAGACGCAAGTCCAGGCGATATAAGCACGTCCCGAAAATAAAAATTTATGTCACCAATATCAGTAATAGATAAAGTATTACCATCAGCTATTTGAATTTTCTGATTACCATGATAAGAGTGTAAATTGTGCAAATACTCTAAAGAACCTGTCATGTGATTGGATGCACCCGAATCAAGAAACCATGGGCGAGAAACATTAGAAGACTTACCCTGAATTCCCAAGGCCGAAAGAGTGGAAAGTACCATTTGTTGAATCAATTCAGGTTGTATAGCATTATTGTTTGATGCGCCATTAGTGGAAGGGACGACCACATTATTTGTAGTTGCATGGAATGCCTGTGTTGAATGTTGTGTTGGTCGTGGAGGACGTGTGGGACACTCAGAGATAATATGACCCTGTTGCTTGCAGTAATTATAAAAATTCTTATTGAAGCTACGAGCAATATGACCAAATTGTTTGCAAGAAAAGCACTGAACCTGTCTCATATCACGACTTTTACATTTACTTTAAGCAACATATGCAACCGTCACAGGCTCGAAAATGGTAGCATCATGAGACATGACTCCTTGAATAATAAAACGTTTTTCCTCCCTTAGAAGTTCTCCAACACATGCATCTAAATAAGGAACAAGATTCCTATTCAACAAGGCACCTCTGACAACTTCAAATTCTGGACATAATTTCATGAGAAGTTGTTCTAGTCCACTTGTGTTGTAAACCTCTTGAATAATCGCGAGAGAGGTCTTGAGAACATTAGCATGCATAATAGAAGAGTGTTCTGCCCAGAGATTTAAAAAACCAGAATAATATTCTTGAATATACAAATCACCTTGTTTGTAGTTGGCTATTTCTAAATCCAACTGAAAATGTTTTGCTGAATTGTCTTGGTTGTAAATGCGCTTCAAATAATTCCACATTTCTTGAGTAGTTGAAAAAGAGCGTAAATTATTGATCATCTGAGGATCAATACTGTTGAGAATCCAAGTGATGATTTTAGCATCTTTAGTTTCCCACACATCTAAAGCAGTTTTCTCCGTCGGTACCTTAGAAACATCTTCTAGATGATTCCATAATCCCTTTCCTTTAACATACATCTTAAACTGAAATTCCCATGCGGAATAATTCTTTCCGGTAAAGCGAACACAAAAATTCTTTTCATTTTCCATAGCCATGATATTATAACCCCAAGAAACCCCACTTAGTAGCCAACGAACGGTGAAGAAACACGCACGATCGAGAAATATCGACAATGAAATCACGATCGAGAAACATCAACAAGACAACAATGAAACCACGATCGAGAATCGCCAACAATCCAACAATGAAACCACGATCACCGAACAAAATCACCAAGAATAACGATCACCAAGCAGAATCGCCAAGAAGTAGAATTGCCAAGAAACAGAATCGCAAATCACAGTATGCTAGCAGCACCAATTAATTAACGATCACCGAAACAACTTACGATAAACACAGAATTAAGATCACGAAGCAACAACAATAAAAAAATCACGAAACGACAATTGAAAGATTTCAATTGAGAAACGCAAT